ATACATTATACCTCTTAGGATACATGTCTACAATGATTCGTTTTGTTATCGGATCAAATATGGCCGACTGGCAGCTATTTTTTTTGTATGCAAAACGTCTGACTTGAACGCATGCGTAGTGCATATACATCGTTCGTGACCTTTTTATAACCAAAACATTGAAACCATACCACGGAAAGTATACAATGACTTAATAGATTTTGACGACGACAACATTGACTGGGATTTTGTTCTCCAAATGGAATAGGCAGCTGCATTGGAGGAAACTGACGGTACTAATCTTGATAAAGATTTGATTAGTAATAATGCAACTAATCGTGGATCGACCGGCGACATCGAACCATTCGTCATTATATTGCCTTCGACTTCTTGCTCAACTACGTGTGTCTATGAATGTCCATCCTGTGATAAGACATATAAAAGCGCAAATGACTTTAGAAAGTAAGCGAAAGATGTGCACCTTTAAAAGGTTGGTACTGTTAAATGCATGCTTTTCAATTTATATAACAATCATTTTCAATATGACACATTGAAAATAGAGTAACTGTTGTACTCGGATTTCGTTTAATTTTTTATAGCAGTTTTGTTTAGTTTATGCATTGAAGCCAATTTCACCTTGATGGCCTATACGAGTTTGGCACCGAATTCTCCAAGATTTCGTTAAAAATATGTCACACAATTTATTCACTGTCAATGGTTTGAGCGTGTGTGAATATATTTGACATTGTCCGGTTGTTGAACAGCTGTTTTAGCCCATCGTTTTTTTACATCCGCACATACTGAATAGCGTTTCGTTGCAATTTGCAATATGAATTATTGTTTCCCTCTTCTCTCAAAGCTTCGAAACACAAGTGTCTGATAATATACCCAAGCACTGTGTGAAAAGTAAGTTCACGTTCAACATGACTAATGTTCATCTTATTTCTTAATTGGTATTTTGTTTCCATGTTTCAATTACCTTCATTGACCACTGTATAATTTAATATTTCAATAATTAGCCTCCTATAAAATTATTTATTTTGATATATTTTCTCATAAATTTTTTTTCCAGACCTCCACCTGTATACAAAAAAGATGATTTGAAGAAAGATCTATCAGCCCTTGTGATCAGAGCACTTCAAAAGATCAAGAGTGATGATAATCTGAACATTTCGTATAGTGTATACGACTCAGGGGATATGGCTATCGTTGCTCATATCATTACAAAAGTAGAGTCTGGTGCTATATTTTCTGGAAAATTTATTGCCGATTTAACCTCTCAGTTATGGTGTCCAATTACAACAGGAGATAAGGATAAGACATTTTCAGCGTCTAATGAAAATGTTTGGTACATAGAGGGACTTGTGTATAATATTACAATACAATAAATTTGTGTGTTTTAGTCCAGCGTTACTTGTACATAAATATTATGTTTCTCCAGCAGTGATTTGCTAGTCGGCAATACACTTTCTGTTTCAGTAACTTGTTTTTCCTAGATTTGGTGTATATTACCAGCTGGAAACATTCACTTCCACTCTCTGGCGATTTATTATTAAAATCATCAGACAGTGGGTTCTCATCACAGCTTTGAAGATGAGTCATTCAATGTTAATACAACTGCTGAATGAGTAATATGAATAGGTGTTTGTTGAGGCAACACAGTCTACCAGACTGTGCATACAATCACGTCTTCTTTTACTGTGGTGTCATGAGGCTTGCATTGCACAAAAAAATTGCGACCCTCCATTTTCTGCCTGTACAGATTACAGTAACCCTCTCCTCAACACTTGCACGAAAATCAGTGACCCACCCCGAAAACACCGGTCTCACGCCCGTATGTACTTTCTGTCCAGTACCTTATTGCACTGTAATGTCGTCGCCATTGAACTTGAAGGCAATTAGTTAAAGTAGTGAAGGCTATTGTACATACAGTCCCATGTCTGGCACCAGTCACATGTATGTATTTTGTGAATTTGATGTGCTTGACGACCATAGCTTGATGTGAGGTAGATAATTGTGACTTTCGTGCATGAACATGTAATGCTGTTCGTTATTAGTGGATGAATTCAGTGGTTTGGTATTGTCATTCGAGTCTTAAACACACATACAAATATCACAATTCATGGGAGCACTGTTATACTTTCACTGATACAGGTAATTCAAACTTGTATGCATTTATGTGCCATGGCTCAACCAGAATACAACATGAATACTATCTAAAGCTATAATTCCACGCAGTCCTAATAATCAGCTCATAACCTAATGGTTACAGTGATGAGGAGCTTTTTCGTAGTTGTATATATTCGTATATTTGCCTGTAATTTTATTACTTCAACTCAGATGTTTGTCCCTTGTAGTTCACTACTGCTATATTATTGTTTTCCCCTTCAGCAAATATTTTATATGTCTTCGTTTTCGAACATAAAACATTAACACCGATGGACAAAGCTCGTTGTGTTTTTATAGTTACTGTAACCGTTGAACAATGCACAACTGGTATTTGTAATAAATAGTGCATTTCTTACTCAAAGCCAGGTTTGTCACTTCTTCCGAAGTTTCGTTTCGTTT